GTTTCCCTAAGGCTTTACGTACATGAGCCTACCCTGACCGCCGGCCAAGGAAAAGCACACATCACAGAAAAAACATGGTACCACGGTTGCCGCGTTTTTCCGTGGTTGGTGGTCAAAACGTTCCTATCTTGAACGCGATTCTTCTGCGTTCAGGAGAGGGAGGTTTATCCTCACCTAAACGCGGCAGCTCCTAAACTCTGCTAAAAGTCTATGTGCACATGGACACATAGGCTTTCATGGAGTTGAGTTTAGAAGGTTTGGCAAAAATATACCAAAAGCTCCTACACTCGAGTTTAGCAGCTGCTTGTGTACATGAAGCATTCGAGTTGGAGGCATCACTGAAAGCTATGTGCAGGCACCAATGTGCGGCTGAATTGTACTGCAACGGTCTCCTCTGCACCTTAACTAAACTGACTAGTTTAGTTTTTTTTTGATTGTGCTTATATGATTCATCACCCACAGTGGAAATGTGGTGACTGGCCAGTGTGACCACATAACTGTGCTGAACAATGAAAATCTCTGTTGAGCCTTCTTTCATTTGGGACCTGGTTCCTGAGGAAAGGGATACATGGTCAACATAGCTGCATTGACCACTCACTGATTTCCCACATTATGATGCTACACAGCTGCCAAGGTTGTGTGGTGAAGATTGTGCGGCACCTTATAGTGACCAGCAGAGGTGGTGGGAGAATGGCAAGTGACCATCTAAGTGCAGTGGGGATGAGGATTTTCAAAGTTCATTCACCTTTTTCATTTTTTTTTTTTATGAAAAGGTGAACTTAACCCTTTAACCTGTCAACAAAGAAGCTTGCTATTGTTAGTCTTTCAATAGCATGGAACACTACTTGAGCTGCCTATCTATCCACAGAATGGACTAATGTAAACACCTGGAGACAGCTCAGTTACAGAATGTAAGCAACTGCATGAAAAGAGGTATCCTTAAAAAGTCTATAGACATGCTATGACATTAATATCAAACCAACCTTGTATAAAGAATCTTTGGTAATATTTTCTTGCCCTGTTGAATTCAATGCCTGGGTAGCAAAGTACCTGTGATGGAAAAAAAAGGCTTATTTAATGTTTAGTCACAGAGTTTACTGTGTTAGCAGGTAGGCCATCTTTATACCGCATATACTGTATAACTGCTATACAAACCATTGTGTATTAGATGACATGAGGAACAACAAAGCTGCACAACAAAGTCTTCTTTATGAGTGTTTATTGGGAACTTGAAATCTCATATCACCCAGCAACATTTTCTGATATATTTCACTCTCTACAGGGTTCAATCAAAAGACTACAAACACATGTAGCACCCTCCTAGTTAAGTGCTAGGATTTGTATAGTTAGGTCACGTATAGCTGTGTTTTTCTGCTGTTCCATTACCACTATGGATCCCTGGCAGAAGTGATAGGAGATAGGGAGCCAGTTGAGAAGACAGAATAGGTCCATGAGATTTCAGAGGAGAAAAGGACTTCCACTATAAGGTTTTCTCCCATCCAACAACCAGGATTACAACCTGAATGGGGTAAACCCCTGGTGCTCAGAGAACTCTTTCTGAAGACATATGGCCAAATAGTCTATGTGGGCTGCTGTTGTGGCGAAAGGTAAGTTGCTCATATCTTTTCTACTCCAGTATGGGAGGAAAGACTTCCTATTGAAAGCTTCTCCAGTTGTTTCAAGTTTTAAGATCAAGTGTTAACTGAACTGCAACTTAAAGGGGTAAATCCCTAGTTCTAAATCCCTTACCTTCCTGTGATACGGGGGGAGGGTACTTGATTCATGCCTGGACATGCCATGCTGAGGTGATTTCGGGCGAGTCATTGCTGTGAGGCCGGGCAATGGCCTGCCACAAGAAGTGTACCCAAAGGAAAGGAGCCTTTGTGAAGTTTTGTTCTTCTAGTTTTTCATTCAGGAACTGAACTGTTGCCCAATTCAGAGGGCAGACTGTGTTACTTGTTGGGAGATGTCTTTTGAGCTGTTGGCTTTAGGGCAGGTGATGGCTCATCAACAAAAACTCCTACAAAAAGTCACTTCTACATAGCAGGAGAATGATCCCTTACCTAGTTCTGCAGAATCCTGGCCTAGAGACAAAAGCCCTTTAGTATAAACTCTTCTATGAAAGCACACTTTGCAAAGATTCTTTGCTGTAAAGTTGTTCTGCCCAGTGGGGGATGTTCCTGACAATGCAGGTAGTGGTGTTGCTGCATTCTGGAAGATCCAGGCTCCCAAACCTCTGTGTGAGGGCCATGGACTTTGGTTAGCAGAGCCTGAGCCTGCACACTGTAATGCACTGGACACCACAATGCACTGTACCTGGTGCCTGGTGTACTCTCCTCCTCTCCTGTTGCTCCTGTGGCTGCAGCAGGTGAAATCAGGGACTTCCAGGCTGTCAAGCACTGTCTCTCCAGTACCTCAAAGAGGGGGGTTAATGCCAGGAAGAGGCCAGGGAGTAGATAGCCTATGGATAATTCTCAGTGGTGCAGCCCTCCTCACTTCCAGGCTGCGGCTCGCTGGGTCTTCGTGACCGAGGACCCAGTGAGCAGCCTAGCTATTTGCCAGTCCGTTTGTTTTTCTTCAATTTTTTTTTTTTTCGGCTGGCCCGGTGGGCTGGATAAATGGCTTTGGTGGGCAATATCTGGCCCACATGTCATAGTTTGAGGACCCGTGCTATAAACAGTAGTTCTGGAGTGGACTGACCTCACTGATAAGTATTATCATTGGGTGAAAACCCCCAAACCATCACATTTGATATGAGGAAAAGAAAATTAAAAATCAAAAAGGAGTCAGTTTAAATGAGTGCACTGAGAGTGCTTATTGGCAGCAGCCTTAGGATAAACTTCACCAGTCTTCATGTTAAAATGAAAATCAGGGGGGACAGGGACACTCCTGTAATTTGAAATTGTGAAAATATGAATAAAATTTAAAGTGATTATAAAGCCTCAATGTTTTATCTTTACTTTTATGCATTCTTTGCATTTAGATTTAAAACTTCTGTGACTGTGTGATTGAAATCTCCCCCCTGACCTTCCCCTTTGTACTTACCTGAGCCCCATCATGATCCAGTGCTGTGCTAGAGAGCAGCAGTTCTCTCCCCTCTATCCCTCCTCACAGGGCAGATCAATAGCAGTGGGAGCCATTGGCTTCTGCTGCTGCCAATCAAACTCTGTGATGAGGGAGCGGGGGGCGGGACTGAACTCTGTTGTCTGTGTTTATGGATGCTGGGGCAGCAGGGCTGGGGAGTGAGCATGCATGAGTGCCCCATGGGAAGGGGATAGGAGAGGGCACTCACTGAAGAGGAGGATCCATGCGTGCTGGTGGGAGACCCGAGAAGAGGAGGATTCGGCTCCTCTGTGCAAAACCAAGTGGCTTAGTGGTTAGCACGTCTGCCTTGCAGTAAATGGGTCATGGGTTGATTCCCGACCATGGCGCCTCCTGCATGGAGTTTGCATGTTCTCCCTGTGCTTGCGTGGGTTTCCTCCGGGTGCTTCGGTTTAATCCCACACTCCAAAGACATGCTGGTAGGTTAATTGGATCCTGTCTAAATTGGCCCTAATATGTGTATGTATGAATGTGAGTTAGGGACCTTAGATTGTACACCCCTTGAGGGTTAGGGACTGATGTGAATGTTCAATATATATATGTGTAAAGCGCTGCGTAAATTGACAGCGCTATATAAGTACCTGAAATTAATAAATAAATTATTTTAATAAAAAAAAAGCTTTACAATCACTTTAATTACATGTCATTTAAGCTATGTGTGCATCCATTAAAAGATACTGAAGGTGAAGACCTCTGTCAAGCAAAGTCAGTTAAGTTTATTGGCCTGTTGGTATATTCCTTACTCACTCAGGTTGATCTGTGTGAATTATATCTTTGTGTGCTCTACGAAGGTAGCAAAAATTTTTGAAAAGAACTTGCCATTCAAATAGACAAAGGAAGTTGGGATGTTAACTAGGGTGAAGAATTGGAACTCTTGATTTACTTTGATACAAAGATTGAGAGGCATATTTGGTGACATGCCAGATTTAGCCTTTTTGGACCAGAGGCTTTGCCTACAAGTTTAACATAGAAGACTGTAGCACCCTCTACTGTGCACTTAGAGTGAGGAAAATATAATAGCTCACAGCAGTGTGGCAAGTCTGGGGAATTGCTTTGGGTTTAACTTTAGGTCAGGCTGGAGGGCTGTACAAGTCAAGCCTCTGGTACCTCCTCTTGGTTTTAGAGTCTTCCAGAAGATTCTAGAAGCTAGTGGGCGGAGGTCAAGAGACTGTGATCTGTATATTTATGGGAGTCTGACCAACCCCAGGTAGGAGGCTTAGCAGTGTGGTGAGATAGACCTATAAATATGAAAGTGCTTATCCAGCAGGGGAGTCTGGGGATCGGGTGAAAGATGGAATGTTGAGGATCATGAGGCCTGGGAGGGGAGTCTGAGGAAGGGGGGCTCTGCCTTCAGGATGGAGCTGAGGAAGAATAAGGAAGGAAAAGAAGCTGGAAAGAGGAAGCTCCACTGCCTGTAGTCTAAAGGAAAAGACAGCCTGCCTGGCTTGGGAGGACTAGCACAGAAAAAGATCTGAAAGCAGTCTCATCCAAAGCAGCAGGATAAAGCCTAAAGGACTTTTCATTGTACTACTTTGCAATAGAGCAGGCAAGAAGTTCAATATTTTTCTAAAGCTTACTACATATTTATAACTACTGATTTTATTTCTCATATTTTTGTTTTCATTATACTGACCTGTAATTTGTTTTATCTTTTGTATTTATGTGTTGCCAAGTGTGGTCTAAAAAGTCACACTTTGTCTAAAATCAGCCTGACAATTGAATTGACATAATTTTACAATTTACATAACTGCCTAAAGGACACTAATATATTAAAAGTATTGTAATATTTTACATTCTGCTTTACGTTTCTTCTACAAAACAAACTCTACCTGCTTGAAAATTGTCACTTTTTTTAGTTCAAACCCACTTAAAGTTTAAACATCTAGAAAAATTGAAAGTCACTCAAAATTAGACCTTGAATAGAAATGTTTTTTTTTTTTAAACCCATCATTTCTAAGCCATTGGCATGTATAAATAATGCAGTGTTCTATCATCAATTGAGAATGTGCAAATACATACATTCTGTTGTCATATTGTGGATGTGGGGTCCCTCTGTCATAATTGGTTTGTACAAGGAACCACCTGCATATAAGAAACAAACATTATGTTAGCCAGTGAAAAAAATATATAGAACAAGAGTTGGTTGTTGAGGAATGACAAAAACAATCTTCTGTTTCACGATATATACTGTATATTAGAATATAAGTTGTGTATTGGTGCGTGGGTAGTTGGAGTCACAATACAGAGGGTAGGTAGGAGACACAGATCAGAATTATAGCTCCTCTTTTGCATGTAACTTTGGGTATTATTTATTTTGAGAGAATGGCAAGGTCTCTTTAATAATAATTTTTTTTAATGTTTTTATTCAAACATTATGGATTTTTGTTTAATGCAGTACAATGTAATTTTAATATGTGTTGTATTTTAAAATATGGCCCAGCTGCAGTCAGCAAAATAAACAGATTTAAAATACCTACTTACCTTCCATCAGAGGCATTCAAATTCAAAACATCAGCCAATCCATCTCGGTCTCTAGTAATAGCCACACCTTCACCTGGTTTTGTACCGGCAACGGTCAGGTATATCTCAGCAGTGATTTCTGTATGTGATAGTTGCTTCACTGCTGAGTCAAAATCTGGGGCACTGTTCAAAGTCTGTTGAATAACATAAACATAAAAAAAACTGGCTCACAGATAGGGTAGGCCCATTATCTTTCATTCACCAGATATTGGTCATTCGGGCCAGTTTAGGACTATTTGAAGTTTATAAACTCCTAAATTAGGAAATAAACAGTTCCCACAGTGACTGAATGACCACAGTAGTTTCGAAACTTGTATTGTGCTATGCACTGCCTAGAATCTCGTATATAATGCCATGTGTCTGGGTCTTGAAAATACCTGGTTTATTTGAAAGCCTTGAATACTTTTAAGGAGAAAATTCTGAGCTGGGCTTCCTTCATTGTTGGTAAAAAAAATGGTTATGTACCCTCAGATGAAAGGGAGGATCAACTAATCTGAGCTTTCATACCCTGCTTTTACAAATGTAGCCACTCTGCCCTAAGCAGAATTGTCTAAATTTAGTGGTGTTAAGCTGCAGACAGGTTAGCTAAATTGATAATTTAGCTCCCTTAGGTTTCTTCTGGGCTCTGGTTACCGTGTGTGTCCTTCTGTTGGCAGTAGGTGACACTGCTGCCTCTAGTAATACCATGAGAGCTATACTAATCAGAGTTATGAATATTTATCACTTCCTGGCCAACCAGTAGGAGGTTCCTTGCTGGGAGAAGGTATAAGTATTCAGAGTGTGACCTTGAGTAGTCAGTATATTCTCCCTGGGCCTCCCGCCTTGGGGAGGGGTGTGTTTGCTGCTGAAAACTGTTAGGCCTGCACCCTGAAAGGGTGACCATGTGGCTGAGAAATGGCCTAGATCTTGGGCCTAGCCTGGGGATTGAGGAGTTATCAGAGCCTCCAAATGTCTTGAGGGGCCAGAAAAGCTTGGATAAGGGGGTTGGGCCTCAGTGGAGTACTGAGTTTTCTTCCCAGGGTGCTGGCAGCTGAGATAACAAGTGTTATACAGTCAGGAACTTGTGCGCTGGTTGATGGGGGCGACTGCTGTGTCTTTATGTTCTGGGCTATGCTAGGCACTGTGTGCAGGGTCACTCACTCTGCCCATGGGGTACCTTTACTGTACTGCACCCATCAATGCCCAGGACAGGGCAAGGGGCTGCTGTAAGGGGAATTCAACCTTAAGTGGTCCTCAAACTCTGAGATAGGCTGTACACTGTGTACATTGAGTGGGTAAACTGGATTCCAGTTAACTCTATGGTCCCTTGCCAATGCACACCTCGACTGTGACTGTTTGCATTTAGGAGGGAAATGCTAAACCTATGCCCACCCAGTGACAGTATGGGGTCCCGTCATGCACCTAGCGAGGACCTTATGAGTGCAATTTTCTTCTTCTTTTCCCATACCTGGTGGCCATGTCAAGGGCCTCTGTAACGCTGATCTGCTCCTATTGTTATGAAAGATGGGCCGCTAGGAGAGGGAGTCCCAGAGGCAAACCCCTCACTACCATAGTATGCCTCGCTGAGCACAGATACCACACTTCATGATAGGCTGCTTGTGCTGATTACAGAAGTCCATTAATCTTGACATCTACTACTTGTCTTAAGTCTGTACCATGTTAAGTCTTGACCAAAGCTGTCTTCATACCTCAGTGTGCTTCACTGACCCAGCTGTTGGTGATGTGACCAGTGCCAGTTACTTTCATACACCCCTTTCAACTTCAGAACAACATTTCAAGGATTTACTGCAAACTTGACATGACAATTATAACAGCAAAAAATGTCATTTCCCTAACTAAACCTAACTGTCTGGGCCAGCATACCTGCATAGGAATTCCTTATGGGAGAAGTCCACATTTGGCTGATGCAGGGTTGCAGTGACTATCTTTATGGTGTCCCTGCAAATCAGCATCCTTGGGTTGGAACACAGATCTCTACATCCTTCTTCAAAAGTTCCTGTTTTTGTTCACCCCCAGGACCCAAACCTCTCCCTTTTATATAATACATGAGAAAAAGAGGCCAGGTGCCAGAAAACTAATGAACTTGCCCAGAGAAGGCTGCAAAAAACATTAACCCCTTCTCCCTGCTTGGGAAGCCAAGCTAAATACAGTAGGCAACCTGCCTACAAGCTTTAATCACAGAATGCACGGTTGGCTTCCAAACTCTCTCTGTTTGAAGACTGAGAGCACTTTTGTTCCCCATTTTGTGGAGTCTGCTACTTTTGGGGGTCCTATGTCCTTGCCCTCTCTGCGTGGAGTTTGACTGTGAGCAATAAACTCCTTTTGTTATACCTTTAAGTGAATGAAGCCCATCTGTTCACTTTCCACTATTGACTAAGTAATCTACACCCTGTTCCCCATTTTGTGGAGTCTCCTAGTTTTTGGGGTCCTGTACCCTTGCCCTCTCTCCGTAGAGTTTGACTATGAGCAATAAACTCCCTTTGTTATACCTTTAAGTGACTGAAGCCCATCTGTTCACATTCCATTATTGACTATGTAATCTACACCCTAAGGTGAAATGCCAGCCTACCCTGTCTTGGGGGGGTACCACCATGTCTCTGGGCTTGGGAGGTTGCTACACAGCTATTATGATTAATTGCCTTGTGATGTAGCTGAGAGATCAGAAGTAAGTAATCACCCGATACTGCTGAAAGTTGAGCATATGCATGCTCCATGGTCAAGTACAATGTGGGTAGTTTAAAAGTCTAATTAAAAGAAACCTATACTGAGAGAAATACAGAGGCAGCCATTTCTGACCTGAAAATACTAGTACCATGCTGTCATACTGACACAAGTTTTAGCCAATGCACATCAGGAAAGTCAGAGTGAAGTCAGAACTGCTGATTATAGGTTTGCTTTGAAGGACAGCATATGCTGTGTTAAAATATGCTATGTTTTTTGTGACATCATGTAGTATACTGCTCCAATCACTAGACAGGACAGAGGAAATATAACATCTGCAATAATAATTTAAAGTATATGTTACCCTTAAAATTATTATAGCATATACTGTGTCTAATACGGTATGTCTTTTGTGTTTCAGTTTTTGCCTTCAGATAAAAATAACTGGTGATCCTGTCATTCCCTTTAAGTTACTTTTCAGAACTGACCACGCTAAGCAGAGAAGGACATCCATGCTGGCGTGGTAAGTTTGCATCTAACTTCCCTGACAGATATACAAACACGCCATGCATAGGCATGTGTGTCTCTGTAATCAGACTTACAGACATGGCCAGTGATGCTGCAGCAATAAGGCTGTAACAATGGCTGTGAACCATTAGCCAATGCAGCTGCAGCCAATATGAGCATGGACAGAACATGTACACAGACAGGGAAAGCAATTCCCTGCTGAGTATGACATTACTCACAGCCTGGAATCACAATGTACACAGTGGGGAAAATATTCTGCACTGTGTTAGACATCATTAATAGCCTGTTCCCCTTCCAACACTGACACCCCCCCCCCCCCCCACAATACCAGGTTACAACGCAGAAGAGGTTTTGCAGTCATGTGACTGCTGGGTTAAAAAATTTAAGAAAAATAAATCTGGTACCTTTTCTTAATGTTTGCATATATCTGACAAACATTTACTTTTCAGAGGTGCTTTGCATAGAACTATTTGAAAAAAAAACTCAAATTTTTTTATATAAGTATATCTTATATAGTAAGATATACTTACCTAATCCAGCGATCCTTTCAGCACAAGACCGTTCCCTGCCACTCCTGCCCCTCCACCCACACACTTGTGAATGAACTGTTCCTGACATCATCACGCCCAAAGGCTGGCTCTGGACATGAGGACGACAGGAACAGTCCACCGCTGGACGTGGAGGAGTGCAGTTTTCCGGAGGACCGAAGGATCGGGTAAGTATAGCCTTTCAGTGCGCCCTCTAGACAGAATGAGCAGCTCCACTGCATGGGAAAAAACATTTTTTTATGGATTTCTTTAACATAAGTAAGGTGTGAGTAAAGCACTCGACTTCATCTTGTGAGCTCCAGTCCTGTCTCATGCTCTGGCATTGAATTTTTTTTTTCTAGTTTTGGATAGAGCAGGTAAGTCAGTTTTTTCTTTTTCCCTGCAAGGGAGATTCACCTTTTCTATTTGTCCTCAGGACATCATCCTGAGACAGAAAGTGATGGGAAATCCAAAATGTTAGTTTTGTCATCAGAACAAGAAGTGAGTGGACATCTTCCAATAGGGGGGCAACTGACCTAACCTCAACTGTCTACAAGTTGATGTCACACACTTTGTAGAAAATTTCTTTCACTTCTACATCTCAGGACAGGGGCAGGAAGTAAAGAGACATCTCCCCCACCAGATGCAAACAGCTAAAAATAAAATGGTGGGTTTTAAACTTTCAGTAAAAGAAAAAAACAAGTTTGGCTATACATACACTTTAACAGGTGACAGGGCTCTCTATCTATATACGAGGGGGTCTTCAAAACGTTTCCACACTTTTATACATATGTAGCCCTACCCTCTTGGGAGATGCCAATTTTGGGCCCCCCTTATTTCCTGTATGGCCAGGCAATACGCATTTCCAACTTTCATTCACAGTCAGTAACCAGGCCATGGACTAATTTTTTGTTGTTTTATTTAGGGATTAAAAACTTGGATAGGGTCTAGGGTTATATTGGATACCCAACTTGACTTGAAACCAGTACTCTGAGGACAAACTTCCTAAATTCTGCACAAAAATGTAGGATCCTGGATTTTCTACTCCCTCCAGAGTGGCATCAGTCCCTTCACGGATCAGTAATACAGCCTCTGTGAGGAGCACTTGGTCACCTCTAAATGAACCTCTTCAGATCCCAGCTAGAAACTGCCCATCCACCTTGCTGTCTTTTGAAGAGTACCCCGGAGCAAGAGATTCTAGAACAGACTTGTCACACTGTCCCAGGGAAAACTAGTTGGGTATAGCATCTAGCAACCCTCTCTCCTGTAGGCCCTGGGGGCGTAGAGGTACTCACACTGTCCTTGTGTCCTGTAGCTTTGGATAAACTGCTTTCAGGCTTTCTGCTGGGCTGGTTTCTATGGGGTCCCCTGCCAGGCTACAGAGCAGCACACCTCAGCAGTCCATCTCCAACCCAACTCCCCTGCTGGCCAGGCTCTCTCATATTTATGGGCCAGTCTGCCACACAGCCAGGCCTCCTGTCTGGGATTGGTCAAAGTCCCATGAATATGCAGATCAACTCCTCCTGGCCTCCACCCACTGGCTTCTAGAATCATGGGAGGTACCAGAGGACTGACCTGTAGAGCCCTCCAGCCTGTCCTGAGGTAAACCCTCTGACTCACACTCAGGCTTCTAACAAGCCTCTAACTACATTCACAAACTATGTACACAAGAGGTCTCTCTCTCTCTCTATATATGTTAAACTTTTAGAAGAACCCTTATACATTGCCAATTTTTACATTCATTCCTCAGGTTAAAGACAGCATGATGATATTTTCCTGGTATATTGTTGTCAAAATTCATAAACATATTTCCTGTGATAGTAAAATGTCCTAAAGCATATCTATTCTAAATCACACAAAGCTTACATTTCGGATGAGCCAACTGACTGGATATCTTCCCAATAACAGAGAGAGTGCATTCTTCCACAGGATATTATTATCCTCTGTAAGGAAAAATTAACCTTTAAACATTTTAGGTGGTAAAGATTTCTTAGCATGTCTCTTTACACATTATTCCTTTGCAGGGTATTTGTGGTTTAATTTTTGTATATAGTAACAAGATTGTTTTCCCAAAAAATGCCTAAAGATTAACTCCACTTTTGTGGGGAAAAATACCACAAATAAAAATAGCATATACAATTGCAACACAAGCCATATTGTAATAAAACATTATTAAAAATTATTTTTCCTTTTCAATCTGGGTGTAAGACAGCAAGGGAGGGGACTCTCCTTTACAGGGACAACATTTAAAATTTAGCAAAAGTTGTACCCTCTCCAAATTCTATTCAAGGCTACAGAAAAATGTTTCTGACATTTTCAAACACTACAGAAAACTGGTTAAGGAGTAGCTCCACTTCATTGAGAAAAAAAACACTCCCCGCTGGGTGGTACTGTATTTTCCAGATTTTTTGCTGAGATATTTTCTCCTAAAGGGTTATTCACATCTCACTAGTAATGCTTGTTTGAGACCCTGACCAGACTTTCTTCATTAGAACCTGCAGGTGCAAAAAGCTCATCCTAAAATAATTATAAAGTCACAACTTTCTTCATTTGCAAAAGCTCATTAATAATAATTTAAAGTCACAACCATTCACTTTGCACATGGATACAGACAAACAAAACTCTATTTCTTCATAATAACAAAAGGTAGGAATCTGAAACTAAGTTTACAAAGTACATAGATCACCCAGAGGGGAATGCTTTTTTTTTCTCAGTGAAAGTGGAGTTACTCTTTAACTAGTTTACTGTAGTGCTTGAAAATATCAAAATCAAGTTTTGTAATCTTGAATAGAATTTTGAGAGGGTGCAACCTTTGCTAGATTTTGAATGCTTTGTCCCTGCAAAGGAGAGTTCCCTTACTTGCTGTCTGACACCCAAACACAGGGCAGCAGTTTGTTAGAAAAAATGCTTTTATCACTGTCTGTGTCCCCAATGGGAGATTTTCTCTCACTTGCTATTCAGTCTGACATTTATCAATTAGTCAAAAAATCAAAAGAAATTCCTCACAGGGGGGCAAAGACAAATGACAGATGTTCTAACCCTTCCATGCTCTGAAACATTTTTTTTCCTTGTAATTGGACTTTAAAAAAAAAAAAATAAAATCAGTATCTCCCAAATATATAAAGACTTGCATGGTGTACAATTTATATATCTATTATACCCTTCTATTTTGGTGAGAAGCAATAGCAATCAACCCTGTCCAAGTCTAATCGATTCAAACATGCACAATAACCAAAACATTTCCTATCAAATACTTACTGTAATATTAATTTCCTGATGGACTCCATGGCAGCATATGTATGAATTTACTCAGGGCTTTTTTTCTCAGAGAATAGGTGAACGAACTCCCCCTTCTGAGTCACTTCTTTTCTCCGCCCCCTACCCACCTCCCAGTACCACCCTTTTTAGAGCATACCATTTTATGGTACTATGGAATTTGTTAATGATAACAAGAAAAGCAGTAAATTAGATCCCCCGCAGCCAGCAGCAAAAGACCCCCCTAGCAACAAAAGACCCCCAGCAACAATGGACTCCAGCAGCAATAGACCCCTGGGAGCAACAACAGATTTCCTAGCAGCCAGCATCAATAGACTCTGCAGCAGCCAGCAACAATTGACCCTCAACAATACAAGCCCCTCAACAACAATAGAACCCCACCAGCAACAACTCCTGCCCCCCCCAGCAACAATAGACTGCCACGCAAAAAATATATGCCCTCCAGCAACAATAGACCGCTCTCTCAACAGAAGATCCCATTCAGCAACAATAGACCTCCACAGCAACAATGGACCAACATGTAAAAATATATCCCCTCCAGCAATAATATATCCTCCAAGAGCCAGCATTAATAGACCCTCCAGCACACCCTAGCACCCCTTGCCATTACAAACATTTTGTCCTGGAGGTGCCGGAACTGATTTCCGCGTTCCCACTGAAAAAAAGTCCTGAATTTACTCCGCCTTCTCGCCCACTCCCATAAATTTTGGCTCAAGAGTCAGAGACTGTATGCCATAACTAGCCTACGCATGACACTGGGTTTGAACTCATGCTGTCATGGAGTCCATCAGGAAAGGAAATTTACAGTATGTATTTGATAGGGATTTTTCTGTTTCCCTGACAGACTCCATGGCAGCATACGCATGGGAAATAATTAGCCAAATACACGAAGGCGGGCAATGCTGAACCAAAGAGCTTTAATTTGTACTGTCATTAGACAGTACCTTTAAACCAAAATTAATTGAGGATAAAGAGGCATAAAGGTGTTGATTGAGGACCACAAGACTGCTTTGCAGTTGCCCCATGTCGCAAAGCTGCCCAAGAAGTAGATACACTTCTGGTCAAGTGGGCTTTCACTGCCTCGGGAAGAGCCAAGCCCTTAGCCCTGTACTCCTGTTGGATAGCTTGAACAATCCATGCCATGATTGTCGTAGATAAGGCACGTTTCCCCCTGTTCTTCCCAGCAAAGAGGATAAACATACAATACGAGAGCCTGAAGGAAGCTGTGGCTTGTAGGTACAATTTTAAGGTCTCACCCACATCCAGGGGATGAGCATTGGAGCTCTTCGGCACTCTGAAGGTAGGCAGGATTATTTCCTGGTTCTCATGAAAGACTGATGTTATCTTGGGATTTGAGTCCAGCATAGGAATCAGCACTACCCAATTTGGGAAGAATGTTATCAAAGGTTCTTTATGACCAAGGGCTCCAATTTGCGAGACTCTTTTTGCCAATGTGATAGCCACAAGAAATGCGGACTTGATGAAGAAGTCTTTGATGGAGAGATACCTAGCACATTCTGTACCTGACCATGACAGTGAGTTGAAGACAAGGGGAAGGTCCACTTTGGGGGACTTTGGTTTTCTCTGAGGTTTAATGCTGGTCGCTCCCTTGAAAAATTGTCAGACAAGAGGATGTCTGGCCCAGGATACACCCGTGAAGGCAGATAAGGCTGACATCTGTATTCTGAGGGAACTGACCGATAGGGCCACATCTAAGCCTGACTGGAGGAAGCCCCGAACATCATCTTGAACTTCAGGATCATTACTTGAACCGCCAGCCTCAGACATGAACTCCACGAATTTGGAGCAGATTCTTCCATTAACTTTGTGTTCACTCTCCTGGCACTCATGAATGTGGAAATGACTCTGGAGGAACAGCTGAGGGCCTCCAGCCTCGCCCTCTCAAGAACCGGTCCATCCATCAGATGCAGCCGATTTAGGCAAGGATATAGAACCAGGCCCTGCGACAGAAGGTCCGGCTTGAGAAGCAGGGGCACTGGATTCTGAAAACTGAGAGGAACCATGGTCTGTTTGGCCAATATGGGATCACTGCTACTATTTCTATCTTCCTCTCTGAGTCTTTGCAGAAATCTGAGGATGGCTGGGATTAGAGGAGATGCATAGGCCTTGCGGAACCTCTAGTGATTCATCAATAGCGAAGGCCTGGGAATACCAATTCCTAGTAAAGTACCTCTCAGGCTTGTAGTTGTATGGGGAGGCAAGCAAATCGATTTCTGGACTAACTCCTAGGGACAGAATCCACACAAAGACCTCTGCATGGAGAGACCATTTGTTGTTGTCCAACTGGACTCTGGATAGAAAATCCACTTGAATGTTCTGGTCTCTGGGTACATAGACAGCTGACTTATTGGCTAGATTCTTCTGAGCCCAAGACATAATTGGCTCCACTTTCTGTAACAAGGAAAGGCTGTAAGTGCTACCTTTGTTTCTTTATGTAGAAGACCACCATAATGTTGTCAAGCCTTAAGAGCACTGATGCTCTCTTCATCAGATGGGGAAGATCCCTTCATCAGACCTGAAGGGTGCAGAAGCCTGCCTGCAACTGCGGGATGTTTGATACGGTTCCGTGAGAAGGACTCCTCCTGAGCTACTTCCATCAGGCAATGAGCACCCCACCCTGTACTGCTGGCATCTATTGGAGCAATGGAATGGGAGTTGAGCAGGTTTTCCCATTTGAATCAAGATGGTATCTCAAATAAACATATAAACCTATCTTCTGAAAGCATATAATCTTACTTTCACACTTGAAAGTGTAATAAATTATAATACCTCAATATGCTCACCCTATAGCCAAATCCTTATGAATAAGTCCCTGAGACGAAACATGTTAAGGAAGTGACATCAGACAACGAATGAACTGGAAGTGTCAAATCGGCCATTTTGGAAATTGGAAAATCTGACCCAGACACTTCTGCTAGCTGCTGAGACTCTGCAAGAGGTTTGGCATGTAGTGTTATCTTATACAGACTCTCTGCTAGTTGTTAAGACTTTGCATGGGGTTTTTGGATTAAGAGATTTTATCCAGATGCTCCAGTCTACTTGTGAGATGGGGAAACAGCTCTCATTGTTTGAACACTGATTGTGTGGAAGTAAATTAATGTTTTGACTGACATTCTGCGGTTTAGCCACAAGATGTAACTGTTTTTCTAACACAGCCTCAGACTGCATAGATATTTGTAGAGGTGGAGTTTTCACACAGAGTTGGAGTGAACAGGAAGAGGAGACTGCAGCCATGTTTTGAACTGTGCTGAATGAAGGGGCCGTGTGAGCTGAGAATCCGATGACATCCAGGTGTGGGAGCATCCCTCGGTAACCAGAGCTGCGGCTAAGTGAAGCTGATCTTGTCCAAGACCCTGATCCTGTTCAGAGAAAGGAAGATTGCTGCCAGTAATGCTAATGAGAGCAGAGGAACAACGCAGCATACACTGCAATATCGCAAGCTTGTTGGAGAGACATTTGTTCTGTTCAGAGTCACCAGCGGATGCAAAGCAGACCCGGGTCGGTAAGATCGTGCACGCACCTCATTTTCATTGTTGGCGCCTTGAGGCTGAGTCCAGACCTATAGTTAGTTAGGGTCTCTGTTTGTGTCAGGCCACAAGTGTTGTTGCTGATTATTGGAAGGACTCCACAACTTAAAGTGACATTTCACATTGCAGAGCTGATAAAATCCTACAAACTCAAGCCAGACTGGTGTTTTGCTCAGAAGGAATACTCAGGCACGTGCTACAGGACCAGTTATGGGAGGGGGAATACTGTAGATTTGTGTAAGATTGTAAGCTGTTGTGCTGCACCGCAGCTAGCCCATACCATACACCCATACACTGATTCCTGCTCTCTTAGGGTAATAATGGGTAAGGTGTGGCAGCTTAATTGTGCCCGCCAGTAGGTAAATTACTACACTTTCTACCTTCATCCATCAGGAGGCGCCGTGCTGTGCAGCACAAGGGTCTCAGTCTTTGGGCTGGGTGTATGTAAATTTATTGTATGTTCCCAGCATTTGTGGTTGTGTTTATTTGCCACATCTAAGTAAAATTCTGTTGTGGCAAAAGCTGGTGTTGGGGTTGCTTTCCTCATTCGTGACTTCACTGTATCCTGGGGAGCCCACCCCGATACACGGCTTACATACTGGTGAGACACTGCATTAAGGTTTGGCGATAAGAAATCACATCCATACGCTTCTGATAGCTGCTGAGCTCGGCAAAAAGTTTGAGTTATGAGAGCAGTGGTGGTGCTATTTATCTGTTTTTTAAAATTAAGAGCATAATAAAGTGTTATTTATTTATACCATACGGAATTACACTATATATCCTTTTTATATATGATGGGTACTATGAATACTATGGAGTAATCCTGCGCAAGGTCCTGATGACAGCTAGCAGAATTATCCATGAGGCTATGAGGACATCTCAATGAACATATCCAGGCTTTCCTTGGATGGTGTATACCCTTAGTGGTATTAAAGTGCTTTTTCTTTTGCCATCTGGTAAGGGTATTCAGTCATTAAACTATAGAAGTGTGCACTACTACTAGCACTTTAGTTTTTTGATTTGTTGGATCACCAGAGTGTTTCACTAGCACGTTTTTTCACGTCGACCACTTGATTCACATATATGGTCACGTTTGATGTGGAGTGACACTTATGTTGTATGTGATTGTACATTATTGTTTTAAGGATAATACACTATTTTAGTTTCTTTTTTTTTTTTGAGGATCACTTTGGAGTTTGGAGTCTTTTTGGGAAAGTGTCTACAGAAAGGACTTGGATTTGCATCTTTAGTATATTTTTGGACACTTGGTATTTTGGACACTGCGTTTATAATATGTATTTGTGGACACTGCGTTTATATTATTAATTTTTGAACACTGCGTTTATATTATTCTATGTACTTGATTAATAGATTTATACCTTGGTATTTTGGACACTGCGTTTATAATATTTATTTTTGAACACTGCGTTTATTGTATTTTTATTTTTTTTTGACACTGCGTTTATAATATTATATGTACTTGTTTCAATTGATTTATACATAGTTTATTTAGTTCAGGTTTTCCCATTGTAGCCACCAGAACAAACTCTCTCTCATGACAGAGGTTATGTAGATGACCTGGTTTCTTATTCCTGGCTCCCACTGATGGAGAAACCCCTTCTGGAAGGACTGCATCCTGCAGAGCACCCACATGACCATCGGAGCCATAGACACTATAGTGCCGATAAATCTTAAACACGAAGAGGCTCACAGGTGGGAGGAAGACAGTGCCAGTAGTGGTTCTTTCCCAGATTTAACAGCCAACTATATTCTTAAAGTGTGTAGATAACCTGGAATCTGTGCTCCAGAAGCTGCCCCTTGTCTTGCGACAGCAGAAGGAGATCATCCAGGTAGTGGTGCAGGCATATGCCTCTTGATCAAGGCCATCATGGCCAACAAGACCTTGGAAAATACACAGGATGATGTTGAAAGCCTGAAAGGGAGACAAGTGAACTGGAGATGAACTTGACCTACAGTGAACCAGAGGAACTTGTGGACCTATTAACCTCTTAAACTGGAAGAGGAATGTTGCTGCTGCAATCAAGGCATATCTCTATCATCTCATGTTGTTGTGTGCTGACGATCAGACATTGAAGGGCTAATGGAGAGAGAGAAAGAAAATGCACAAAAGAGAGAGTTATAAATTTCCAGAAAGCCCCAACAAAACAAGAAAAGAAAAGGGTTAAAAACACCCCTTCCTACCTGCTGCTGGCCACAAGGGAGCGGTGAAACATCCAAAATGTGGCAGCTATATAGACGGGCAGGGGATAGAGCCAAAGGTACCATTAGGAACACAGTTGGATGGCAGACAGCCTCCTAGGGCTTAAACACAGAGAGCATACTTGTATATGTGAACCACCCAGCTTGGCGAAAGTGCCGCATTCTGCCCATAGGAAATTTGACAGTTCTTTAAATTTCCCGCCTGTGTAACGTCACTGCCTCCCGTCTGACTGAACTAGCTCGAGGCTCGCACATGTGCAGAAGCATACTGCAGGCGCCGGGCCAGAACAGAAGTGGTGGCCTGCAATGCAGATACCCTCCATCCACCATGAGAGGTCGAGAAAACACTAGAGCCAGGAAAGAAAGGTAAAGACACACTTAAAAACATATATAACTGCCATGCAAACATAACATGTGATTAGACATGTGCGGTTCATTTTGTTCCAAATTTGGACACATTTTTCCTTATTCAGACATTCAGATGTCTCTGAATTTCTGAATTACAATAGTAAAGAATCCAAAATAATGAAACAAAATTTAAACTCGAATATAAAAGAACAGAATAGAACAAATAGAATAAAATAGATCAGAATAGAATAGAAAAACAATACTGTTAAATAGAATACAATATAAAAGAATAGATTAGGATAGAAAAGAATAGAATAAAAATAATAGAATAGAATATAACTGCGTAAATTCGAATTTCGAATAGAATAAATTCGAACAGAATAGATTTCAATATAATAGAAAAGAATAGAATAGAAGAGATTACAAAAAACAACAGAATAAAATAGAAAGAATATAACTGTCTTCGGAAATTCAAATAGAATGAATTCAAAATAGAATAGAAAAGAATAGAAAATGAGACAATAGAATAGAAAAAAAAATAAAATAGAATAGAATAAAATATAATATAACTATCTTCTGAAATAAATTAGCGTTCGAATGCAATTTGAATTAGTTTGAATTGAATTTGAATAGAATCAAAACTAAACAAAACAAGTTTTTATGTTCTGCACATGTCTACACCTGACCCTGTGCCTGGAAAGGGGAGACAGCTGCAGGATCCACACTGGGCAATCCACGGCCACCCACAGATAGCAAGGCAATTTGGTCAGCCGCACGTTGCCTGTCAATGTTAGGGCCTTGGATCTTCAGCTGCATGAAGACTTGTATGCCCACCTCCACCCTGCTGATAGCTGGGGAATACTGCAAATGCCAAAGGACGTATCATCTGGCAACACTTGAATATACCAGCACGCTGATCCACCAGACCCTGACCACAAAGGATAATCAAAAAGGTAAGGAAATAACTTCTAACCCACAAGTCCTATTGAGGAAGACAAACAAAGAACGTGACCTCGGGCTCTGAGCCAAAATTTACAGGAGTGGGTTCCTATAGAGTGGGAGAGGACGTGGAGTAAATCCATACGTATGCTTCCATGGAGTCTGTCAAGAAATATTATTATCCCTGAAGGTGGTGGGTGGGCTGGGTAAAAGAAAAATATGTATAAAAATGCTCATTGCTAGCTTTAACACTAGTATAAGAAAACAAATATATTATATAAGGAATATACTGTATGTACAAGCACACGTATATTTTACCTCTAGAATTTGCAGATATAGTAAATTTTTGGGGACTTTGCCCAGTATAAAGACCAACTATTCCTGGAAAGGTTGTTCCTGTGTACACAATCTGAAATATAATACACATAACAGCAATTATAAAACAACTACCAACATTTTCGATTCTAAAAACACACATGGCTTTCTCATGTATTAATTTGCATTACTTCATTTTAAAAAATGAAATAAAAAAATCAGTTGCCTGCTTTTACCTGAACACACCTGGTGAAAATTGCTCTCAAAGTGCTACTAAACTCACAACAGTAAAATCAGTCTATATGCAGTAAAGCATGCTCGTTATACTCACAGTGGAACCTAAGGGGTTAATCATCTGCATTGTGTAAAAGGGCTGTTCGATCCTGTCTTCTCTAATCCACCCCTTCTTCTACTGTCCCCAATCCATCTCTTGATAGTACAGAGCTCTAGGAGACACTCTGCACATGCTCAGTTTAGTGTTTATGTCTAGAGATTTTTTTTAATCTTTGGGAGGGTGCATGTGATTGGCACATGGTCAATCAGCACTGTCCAAATAGAGGGTGATGGATTATGCAGCCTCTTAGGCCAGTCAGAGCAGAATGAAAAACTCCTCCTACAAGCTGCACACTGATAGAAGTCACAAGACTGCTATATACTGCTGATAAGAAAAGGTATTTAGCAGATTATATTTACTAAAATAATTGCATTTCCATGTAGTGTGTACTGTGGGAGACCAGATATAGTGAATGGAGGGTCCTGGGTTTAGTAACAGTTTAATTTGAGATCAACAACTCATATAATACAAAAGTTCTGTCCAAGTAAATATTTATGGCAGAAAAATATCATCTATCACCCAACATGCACTGTAAGAAACACTTTTGAAGTAGGTCCTAACTAGGAAGAGCTGAATGTACCCAAGGTTAAAGTCAATGGGAGCCACATCTGTCAAATCAAATATCCCTATTTTAAATGCTATTATGCAAGGTATTGGCAATAAATGGTATGGGGGCTGGGAACTGCCATGGGAAGCATAAGGACCACCCAAAAATACCAGACCCAATATCATTAAGATGGATAAGGGCCCGGTATAGATTTTGGTGATTCCCCATACCATTTTTTACAAAATAAAGATACTGGCTGGTAAAAGTAAATTACAAGCAAATATTTTTGATTTTAACAAAAATTAGACAAAAATGAGATTGGTCCCCCTTAAAATCAGCACCAAGCCCTTCAGATTTGGTAGAATTTTATGGGGGAACCTCTTGTTACAAACAAGAAAAAATGGCATGGAATCCTCCCAAAAACCTATACCAGACCCTTCAAATTTTAAGGGAGAATTTATGCCAAACACAAGAATAAAATGGCATGGGGTTTAATGGTATATAAACACAAAGGCACACTTTGACAAACCTTTAAAAATTTTTTTTTTAAAAAAACAACAAATTGTCCCAAAGATGTAGATCCATCATCAGTTATGTCATCCAGAGATGCAACCTACCCTCAGTCTTGATGCCCGTGGGATCTAGAGGTGACATCAGTGACCAAATATGGACATGACAACATTTGGTCATGTCAGTCGGGGTGGTGTATGTATCTGCATATCGGTGGGAGTTGGACTTGGAAACTGAGAGCAAATCGCATTGCTGGGCAACGTGCCTGGCGATTTATTTACATCATGGGACAAGTCTTTTTATTTTCATTTAAAGGACTTGTCAAAGTATGTCTTTGCATTTATTTACTATTTAAGTTTTTTTTTACATGCATACAAAGGTAAGTTGCATCAATCACCTCACAATAGACAATATCATTTAGTGTTTTTGCCCCAATGGTGAGTGATTGGGTGTTTGTTGTTGTAATTTACCTTGGTGCTTTTGCCCTAGGTGTTGACAGAGTAGACTTGTGGAACCATCCTTTCCTCTGAGGGAAGATCTTTGTACCATCCAACTTCCAGGGAGTGCTTTTTTCATCTAGCAGGCTCCTTTGGAATCCATATTGGGGTATGCATGTTATGTTTGTGTATCTATATGTGTGTGTGCTATTAGACTACATGGTTCCTCTAAAGCAGTCATGTATAGACTGACTGAGATTCCACTTCTTTTTTAGGTATGAATTCGGATCTATATAATTCTGATATTTTGGACATGCCATTCATTTACACGACATCAGCCACAATATCACAACCCCTTTTACAGAATCTCAGGTTATAAAAAATACTCAGCATGGTTATGCTTAGTAAAATGTGTTCAGTTAATAGTTTTTATACTGTACCTGCCCATTCCTAATAAAATCCACATCCACCACAAGCTTTCTGAGGTCTACGGGAAAGTACAAGTCCATGTTTCTTGTGTGATGAATATATCCTTCCTTAGTTTCTGCTATTATACTTGTGCAGCCCCTAGAAATGTTGGACAAATATTTTTGTTAGAATTATAATAAGAGAAAACTGGCAACATATGGAAAAATTATACAATTCCTCCCAAATGGTACTAAAATGGTAAAATTTATATTCATATATAGGCAACTGGTTAATTATTTTTAACAATTTCGGAACCATAATGTGTGTTCATTAGGTTAAATACGTTTTTGACAACCTGTTGACTATGGTGGTACCCTTTTAAAATTTTTTAGCAGATGATCCCTTTGATCTGAAAATGATTCATCTACAGCTCACGATACAATATACACATTAAGTTGTAAATATATATGATAAATAAAAAAGAAAAAAATGTGGTGTGGTATTAGCAAGCTGTTTATACAGACATAGATGCAACAGCTATTCTCATATATTATACTGCGATCCATAGTTTAGCCACTAGGTGGCTGTGTTGGTTGCTGGAATAATGCATTGCTCCCTCTAGTGGAACTATATGGTTATGATGTAATATCCTATTTCTGTGGTCCTGTTGTTTTCCATATAATACAAGAAGGACATAGCCATGTGTCCAGCAACATCTGACTGATTAAAAAAAAACAAAACATACAGTATCTGGAACAGTTTTCAAACAGATTATTGGCCCAGCTACAGCCAAAGTACTACATACTGCTGCAGGTACAGATACAGCTCAGAGGTACAGTAAAACAATTTCTAAAAAAAAGAAAAAGGTCAGAAAGCATATATGGATACTAACAGTGTTTCATTTTTAATTTGTATTCTGACAAGCCAGAGCTACCAGTCCTGGACATTTAAATGAAGATGCTGCTGATAAAGAGAAGGTACATGGATGTGTAATCAAGAACACATACCAGACCTTGCTACAGATGAGTAAATGAAGAAGGATCAAAAAGCCTAAAGTACTCTATCCACAATTATAGATGATGATCAAATTGTGAATATATGCTTGTGTGAAACCACAAAAGAAATATAAAAAGGAGCTACAGAAACTGCATGGGAAATGTTTGCAATAAACTGTACTTAACTGCTTCCCCGCCGTCCTATAGCAGAATTGCTGCTACAGGGCGGCAGGGCTGCGCAAAATCACGTGTATATACAGGTGAAACTCGAAAAATAGAATATCGTGCAAAAGTTCATTTATTTCAGTAATGCAACTTAAAAGGTGAAACTAATATATGAGATAGACTCATTACATGCAAAGCAAGATAGTTCAAGCTGTGATTTGTCATAATTGTGATGATTATGGTTTACAGCTCATGAAAACCCCAAATCCACAATCTCAGAAAATTAGAATATTGTGAAAAGGTGCAATATTCTCGGCTCAAAGTGTCCCACTCTAATCAACTAATTAAGCCATAACACCTGCAAAGGGTTTCTGAGCCTTTAAATGGTCTCTCAGTCTGGTTCAGTAGGAATCACAATTATGGGAAAGACTGCTGACCTGACAGTTGTGCAGAAAACCATCATTGACACCCTCCATAAGGAGGGAAAGCCTCAAAAGGTAATTGCAAAAGACGTTGGATGTTCCCAAAGTGCTGTTTCAAAGCACATTAATAGAAAGTTATGTGAAAGGGAAAAGTGTGGAAGAAAAAGGTGCACAAGCAGCAGGGATGACCGCAGCCTGGAGAGGATTGTCAGGAAAAGGCCATTCAAAAGTGTTGGGGACTTTCACAAGGAGTGGACTGAGGCTGAAGTCAGTGCATCAAGAGCCACCACACACAGACGGATCCTGGACATGGGCTTCAAATGTCGTATTCCTCTTGTCAAGCCGCTCCTGAACAACAAACAACATCAGAAGCGTCTTACCTGGGCTAAAGAAAAACAGACCTGGTTTGTTGCTCAGTAGTCCAAAGTCCTCTTTTCTGATGAGAGCAACTTTTGCATCTCATTTGGGAACCAAGGACCCAGAGTATGGAGGAAGAATGGAGAGGCACACACTGCAAGATGCTTGAAGTCCAGTGTGAAGTTTCCACAGTCTGTGTTGATTTGGGGAGCCATGTCATCTGCTGGTGTTGGTCCACTGTGCTTCATTAAGTCCAGGGTCAACGCAGCCGTCTACCAGGAGATTTTGGAGCACTTCATGTTTCCTTCTGCAGACGAGCTTTATGGGGATGCTGACTTCATTTTCCAGCAGGACTTGGCACCTTCCCACACTGCCAAAAGCACCAAAACCTGGTTCAATCACCGTGGGATTACTGTGCTTGACTGGCCAGAAAACTCGCCTGACCTGAACCCCATAGAGAATCTAAGGGGCATTGCCAAGATGAGAGACATGAGACCGAACAATGCAGAAGAGCTGAAGGCCGCTATTGAAGCATCCTGGTCTTCCATAACACCTCAGCAGTGCCACAGGCTGATAGCTTCCATGCCACGCGACATTGAAGCAGTAATTGCTGCAAAAGGGGCCCAAACCAAGTACTGAGTACATATGCATGCTTATACTTTTCAGAGGTCCGATATTGTTCTATGTACAATCCTTGTTTTATTGATTGCATGTAATATTCTAATTTTCTGAGATTGTGGATTTGGGGTTTTCATGAGCTGTAAGCCATAATCATCCCAATTATGACAAATCACGGCTTGAACTATCTTGCTTTGCATATAATGAGTTTATCTCATATATTATTTTCACCTTTTAAGTTGCATTACTGAAATAAATGAACTTTTGCACGATATTGTAATTTTTCGAGTTTCACCTGTATACACATGATTTTGCATTTCTGGGTAGTGGCCACGTGCGCGCCGCTCTACCTGCTCCACCATTGGCGGCTACAGATGTTGATCCCCGCTGGCACCTGGCGATCAACGAGGAACAGTGATAAGGGAGAGACCTGTATGTAAACAACACAGATCTCTCTCCTGTCAGCAAGAACATGCTGCTGTGTATTTCTCACAGCACACATTTAACCCTTTGATCGTGCCAGATGTTAACCCTTTCCTGTCCAGTCATTAGTACAGTGTCAGTGCTTTTTATTAGCACTGATCACTGTATTAGTGTCACTGGTGATGTCAGTGGCAGTTACAGTTTGGCCCCAGTGTCAAAATTCCTTGCCACAGTCCCACAGTCCTGCTTTAAGTTGCTGATCGCCGCCATTACTAGTATAATTTTTTTTATTCCATTATATATATATATATATATATATATATATATATATATGGCCATTTGTAGACGCTATAACGTTCATGTAAACTTATTAAATTACATGTATTGGGATTTTTTTTTTTTCTAGCAAAGACGTAGTAGAATATATTTTGGCCTACATTTATGACAACATTTGAGTTTTAAATTTTTTTATTGGATATGTTTTATAGCAAAAAGTCAAAAATAAATATTTTTTTTTTTCAAAATTGTCAGTCTTTTTTTGTTTATAGTGCAAAAAAATTAAAAACACACAGGCGCTCAAATACCACTGAAAGAAAGCTCTATTTGTGGGGAAAAAAGGATGTAACATTAATTTGGGTGCAGCGTTGCATGACTGCGCAATTGTCAGTTAAAGTAATGCAGCGCCATATAGCAAAAAATGGCCTGGTCAGGGGTAAATCCTCTTGAGGGCAAGCGGTTAATCAGAAAGCTATACTAATCTGATTAATCACCTCCCCTCCAGCCACTATATATAAATAGAGATTTGGGAGCTTCCTTGTTTCAGGAGGACATACTGTATGTTCTCTTGTTCTGGTTGCTCATCCCCTGGACACAGATCACAGATTGGGGTACAGAACCAATTTCATTGGCCCTGTACTATGTGATCTCTATGAACAATCACAGTGATCACATGTGTGAACACAGGCTGTAAGATCTCTCCTCTCTCAACAATCGGCTGTAGTACAGTGCTGGGAACAGTACTACACACTGAAAAAGAAACAAAAAGCGATCTGTCACTATGATGATATTATACGGCTCTGGTTAGTGCTCAAAGACACGGTGGGGTTTATTTACTAAAGCTGGTTCACTCCGAATCTTGTGTACTTCTGCATGGAAACCAATCAGCTTCCAGGTTTTATTGCTAAAGCTTAATTGCACAAGCTGAGGTTAGAAGCTGATTGGCTACCATGCACATTTGCAGGAGTTTCTCAGTGAACCAGCTTCAGTAAATCTCCCCCAGTATGCCACTGCAGCACACAGTGTATCTGAACATTGGCCAGAGCAGTGCAATGTCATCATAGTGACACTGCACTGCTCAAATGACAGTGATACAAAAGAGCTCATTCAGACTAACCATGGTCTCTGAAGAACGATCTGCATTCAGATAGCTCTTCAGAAGTCATTTAACAGGTGGTGAGGGTGTGTTGTATTGCAATAGATGTTGTTTTTATCCCTAAATTCTGGGCTACTGCGGTCCAATAACATGAGTGATTGTGGGGCAGTTACAGTGCATCTTCATTCAATTGAATCGGTTGTGCTCGGTGGGCATTAGTGCAGCAGGGTATAATTCTTGCTGTGCAATGTGCATACCCCCCCGGCCGCTACCTTCCCATCTAAATGGGGAGCGGTTGAGGGACAGTAAAAATGTGGCTCAACAGCAGAGTTTTACCACCCCTACCCATTAGTGTAAACGAGACTCACTCACCACATTAGTGTAGCCAGTGTAGTCCACCACCACCCCAGTCCCAGTGTCATCATAGGGGCTCATTCACATGAGATATATCAATGCCTACCCCGTGCGCTGGCCATGCATGGAACACCTGTGGGTAAACAAGGCCTTCACATGGGATACACATTTATACACCCATGTAAACAAGGCCTTGTGTAGCCCAAAATCATTGGTGTCATTGGAAATGAATCAGTCAAATCATTATTGTCAATGGAAATTAAGAGCAAATTGTTAATGTCAGTGGAAGCAAAATTAGACTCAAATTATTGGAGGGAAAAATTAGGCACACAATTTTGGTGTCAGAGGGATAAAAATGTGCCCAAACCGTTGCTCTCAGTCTCAGTATTTTATAA